TGGGGGCTGGGTGTCTGTAGTGGGTTCTGTTTCCTTGGGGCTGGATGTCGCCCGGCTCAACCTCTAGCAGCGTCAACCCCTCGCGCCCCCACGTGTGTTAGAGACGAACCGCACCCACAGGGTTTTCAGTGGCTGGTATTTTGGGAAGTGATAGCCAGGCCTTTCTTCCGAGGTGCTCCTGGGCGGACTCGAACCGCCAACCGCTGGGAGAGTGGCCTCCGCCCTGGGATGCAGCAGCCATTAGTTCAGGGTCTTTGGTCATGGCCCGAGCTTCCTGGTAGAGGGGCTGCAGCCAGGACACTTGACTCTCGTGCCCACAGGGCCCACAGTGCATGCCCCTGGGCAGTGATTCTCAGCCGCTCCACCCCCGCCCCGCCCTGAGTGGGGGTGGGAGGGTGGGGAGGTTCTCTCAGAGCACTGCTGGCAGCGGTCCCCACCTTCCCACTCCCGTCCCCCCGTTTCCCCACCCCATCCCCCACCTTCGCACTGTGCCCCCTGCGCCCCTAACGCTGGTGCCCTCCAGGAGGTGCCCACGCTGCGGCAGCTGTGGGCGTGCGGCCACCAGGTCATCCTCTCCTACGAGGACGAGGGCTCCGTGAGCAGACACCGGGAGCTGTGGCCGGGCATCCCGTACTGGTGGGGGGACAAGGTGAAGACCGACGACCTCATCCGCTACCTGGAGTCCAGGAAGAGCAGCGGGCGCCCAGGTGGGTCACGTGTGCCGTGCACCAAAGTGGGTCGTGTGTGCATCCGTGTGCATGCGGTGTGCTCGGGCGGGTCACGTGTGCCATGCGCTGAGGTGGGTCGTGCGCGCATGTGCATGCAGTGTGCTCGGGTGGGTCACGTGTGCCGTGCGCCGAGGTGGGTCGTGTGCACATCCGTGTGCACGCGGTGTGCTCGGGCGGGTCACGCATACCCTGTGCTGAAGTGGGTCGTGGGCGCGTGCATGCCGTGCACTGACGTGGGTCGCACGTGTGCTCGCGGCCAGGTGAGTGACGTGCGCTTGCACGCTCAGCCTAACCGGAAGCAGTGCCGCTCACAGGGGCTGGGTCTGCACTGGGATTTTTGTTTTGATAAAATCTACGGTGGTGAAATATATAGCAACACTTGCCGTTTTGACCATTTGTAAGTACAAAATTCAGTGGCATTCAGGGCATTCGCTATGGTATTCGCCCACCACCCAAGTCCAGTCTCAGAATAGTGTCTTCGCCTGAAGGGGACCCACTGCAGTCACCCCACCCCCTTCTCCAGCCCCTGGCAGCTGTGCCTTCGGACCACACAGCACCTGCCCTTTGGTGACTGCTTTTTCCACCGAGGCGTCCGTGGGAACATAAAGGTCCCGGGACAGAAAAAGTCTGCAGGTTCTACAATGACTGTAGGTTCCACGATCACTGCAAAGGGATGAAACGCCACCCAGGGGGTTGCTTGAAAAGGGTGAAATTTACGTTATGTGACACCACTCAGAAGGGGTAAGGGCCCACCCTACTCCCTAATGACCTTCTGTTGACCAAAACATGGCCAAAGACCCCATTTCCACACAGTCACCTTCACAGCTACCAGGGGTCTGGACTTCAGCACATCTCTTTTGGGGACACACCACTGAACCTATGTTGTTGTCATGTGTGCCACCAAGTCAATTCAACTCACAGTGCCCCTGGTTCACAATCCAACTCGCAGTGCCCCTGGTTGACAGAACAGCAGTGCCCATGGGCTTTCCTACAGGGAAGACCCCCAAAGAGATGGACCCCCCACTGGCTGCAACCATGGACCCACGCACAGCACAGACCGTGAGAACCGCCCAGGACCGGTCAGCGCTTGGCTGTCGCACACAGGGTCACCCTCAGCCAGAGCCGACTCGATGGCCCCTAACGGCATGGCCTTTCCTGGGAGGGGGTTTCCTGTACGGACGGCCCCGGTGGTACCGAGGGGAAGCTCTCAGCTCGAATCCAAAGGCAAGCTGTCTGAACCCAGCAGCTTCCCCTTGGAGAGAGGTTTCCATCCTTACGGCAGCAGATTGTCCCGTCTTTCAAATCTTGGATGGGTCTGAACGACCAACATGTGACTCGGCAGCTGAGCACTGAGCGCCGCACCACTGGGCGCCCGTTGGACACGTAACTGCACTGTCACAGCTGCCCGCTGTCAGGGCTCTGTAGTCTCTGGTCAGAAATTTAAAACTCCAAAGATGCGGGAACGGGAGAAAAGCCTGAGGAGGGACTGGGTGACGGGGTGTAAGGCTGCCCCCTGATTCCCTTCCTCCTCCCACTGTTCCCAGACGAGCTGTTTGTGGCAGGCATCAACCTCACAGAGAACCTGGCCTACGTGTTGGTGCACCCGGCCAAGTCCCTGAAGACGATGACGCTGCCCAGCCTCCCGCACCTGGGTGCCTGGGTCCGAGAGCAGTGCCCCGGGCCCGGCTCCCGCTGCACCAACATCATCGCGGGCGACTTCATCGGTGCGGACGGTTTCGTCAGTGATGTCATCCGCCTCAACGACAAGCTGCTACGGTGCTGACTCGCTGCTCTGTGAGGTCCGGTATGCGGTGGCCCCAGTCACCGTGTCCTTCCATGGAGGCCGGTATGTGAGCAGCTACCAGGCTGACCCTCAGCCCTACAAGTCCAGCACGTGGGCGGATCAGAGGTCCACCCAGGGGACAGGTCCCTCTGTGGAGCCCAGGACACCGGTGGCTCTGATGCCACCTCAATGCCACAAGGAAGGCCAAATGCGGGCGAGGACAGGGGCCCCGTGGGGTCTCTTCAGCCGCCTCCTGCCTCCCCGGCACGGAGGCGCACACCGTGTGTGGTCACTGATCCTCACTCTTGGGTTTCTGCACCGGGATGGCTTAAGTATATATGCAGATGATCAAAAACGATAAGCAATAGCATCTTGGAAGGAAGACGGCCTGTGGTGCAGGGTTCTGTTCTTCTGAAGGCAACCGCAGCTGGGCTGTGGCTGCTGAGAAAGGCTCACCAGGCCGCCTCGTTCAGTGGCTCCGAGAGTCCCCGAATGGCGAATGGCGTTTGGACGTCTTCAAGGGCCTGCTGACACGTGGCGTGCTCAAGATTACGCTGGTTGGATCGGCCGAGGGCAATGGAACCCTACTGAGAAAGTGAAAACCAAAACGAAACCAATGAGGAACAACAATGGCAGGGCAATCATGGGCGGTTCCCTCCTCCCCAGCTCAGCAGGCTCCGTACGCTTACCGGTTTTCCTTCCAAGTGTTCGTGGGAATCATTGTAATGGATGTTTGAGGAGTTCATTACAAAGAGGAAATGACTGGTAGTATTAGAACAGTACTGAGCACGTGCTCCTCACACGCTTCCCAGAGGCCTCCTTGTCATGTATTCTTCAGGCAGGGTAAGAACACGGGTGGGGCAGGTGTAACACAGATACACTGGACCCCCCTCTGTGGCCGTGCTGTGACTTCATGTTTCAAGTTGTTCTCAGCCTCATAGCTGCCCCTTGGACACTGCTCATGTCTTCACTGGGATACAGTGGGCCCCTCCGTGCCCACGCAGTGAACTAGCTGCAGGTGGTTCTCGGCCTCCTAACTGGCCCCTTGGACTCCCCCCAAGTTGTCTCTCTCACCTGGCCACTTCCAGTAAGGCTCCTTGCCCCTCCTGCTCTCTCTGCCCAGTCACCCCAGGGCCAGGCGTAGACTGGCAGGCAACTACTGCTCACTCTCATATCGCTGCTGTCTCCACCACACCCGTGATTCTCTCCTTCCTCCCAAGGACGCTGGCCAGTGTTGGTCAGTTTTCCAACTTTCTTTCCCTCCTTTTCCTCAAGGCCTTGTGCCAGCCTGACCATTTTCCAAGCAGATTTTGCTGCTTTCTGACATCGGGAGTCCAGGTTTCAAAAACGCAGATGTCACAGACACACCTCGTTTTGTGCCTGTAGCTTTTCAGAGTCAGTGATTTAAGTTCTCGGCCCAATAACGGACTCAGACCATCATTCTCACCTCCCTTCTCTCTCAAGAGAGGACCCGGGAATTCTTTTATAGCTCATGTTCTGGATCATTTATCCTGTAACAGAAGGACACTAGACGTTAGGATTTCTGAGGGGAACACTGAAAGTGACTATTCAGTCCATCTTGGAATGAATTCTTTGAGCCAATTAATCATTTTCCAAAAGAAAATCCGTTTTTGCATTCCATCTGGTAAATGAAAGTACCTGAAATCCAGAAAGACAGACTTGTTGACCGTGTCCCACTGCTACCTCAGACCTGTGACTCCGCTGGGTCTCCCCAAAGGACACAAAGCAGATGCTCAGGAAGAACAAGCTGAAGGTGAAGGAAACACCTGGTGACAGGCCTACGACTTAGTGCTCGTTATTCTCCTCCAAAGCTGTGCTCTTGCTACCGGTACCTGCGTCAGAGCCGTCCAGCACGACTCACTGAGTCTGGAGAATTAAAGGAAACTAGAGTCAGGAATGTGTATGGGTCTTTGTTTTGTTACAGTACAATCAAGGCATTTGTGGTAGCCGTCATTATAATACATAAGAACATGAAGTGAGTTTTAAAATAATCAAACTGTATCTCTTCTTTATTTCTGTGACACAAAATTAAGGACTGGATCATATTGTTCAATTTCAAAACTATTTTAAGCTCTTTGATGGGGACCACGAGCAGAGGCTCTGTTGTGTTGGTCGCTGCTGTCGAGCCGGGTGACGCACAGTGACCCCGTGCGCAGCGGAACGAAGCCCCGCCCGCTCCCACGCCAGCCCCACAAGCCTGGCTCGACCCGAGCCCATCGCCGCAGCCACTGCGCCAGTCCACCTCGCTGCGGGCCTGCCCCTTCCTCGCTGACCCGCCACTTTACCCAGCATAACTCCTTCTTCAGGGAGTGGTCCCTTCTGACAACACGACCAAAGCAGGTGAGACCACGTCTGGCCACTCTCACTTCCAAGGAGCGTTCCGGCTGCACTTCCTCCAGGACAGACCTGTCAGTTCTTCTGGCGTCCGTGGTCCTTTCAGCGTTCTCTGCAAACACCACGGCTCCAAAGCACCAGCTCTTCTTGTCTTCCTCGTTCACTGTCCAGTCCTCACACGCCTGAGGTGACTGAAAACACCACGGCTTGGGTCAGTCTCACCTTCGTCTTCAAGGGAACATCTGTGCTCTTCAGCACTTGGAAGAATCTTTGCAGCAGATTTGCCCGGTGCTATACGTTGTCTGATGTCCTGACTGCTGCTTCCATGGGTGTTGACTGTAGAACCATTAAAGATGAATTTTTGAGCCTCCCGTGTTTGGAGGAGTGTGTTGTCCTCTGAGGAAGTGTCTCTCCAGCAGGGCCTGGCCTTGTGGTCACCTGCAGACAGTGGCCTTGGAAAAGGTCCCTGTCCTGTGCTGCTTTACCTCCTACAGGCCCAGCAAATCTACTCTTTGTGACCACAATAAACTCTGTTGTGTGAGCAGCTGGCTGCCCATGGTCACGTCTTGGGCTGCCTCACAAAGCAGCCTCATTGTACCCATGATAAACTCAAACTCTTCCCATGAGAACTTTGTCATCCACACGAGTTTTTTCTCCTGGCCTTGGGCCCCTCTGTGTGTAGTGGGAGCCTGGAACTGGGGAGGAACCCTATCTGTGAAGAGAGACATCTTAGGGGAGCGTGTGTGGTGGTATGTGGTATATTTGTATGTGTAATTGTGGTGGTATGTGGTGTGTGTACCTGTGTGGTGGTATGTGCTGTGTGGTATGTGGTGTATGTGTGTGTACCTGTTGGTGGTATGCAGTTTGTGTACCTGTGTGGTGGTGTGTGTGGGGGGTGGGGGGAAAGAAAAAGCCTGGCACGGGGAGGTCTTAGCCAGTGTCTGGGAAGAGACGTCTGCAGGGAGGCGGGGTGCAGGGTGCGGGGTGCAGTGGAGCCCTCGTGCCCAGTTCTGTCCACGTGAAGCCCAGCCCCTTCTCGTCGTCGCCCCTTGAGTAAGTGCCCTGCAGTGGGTTTCTGGGTGTCAGGCAGCCCTGTGGGGACGGCCCCTCACCGTCACTGTGAGGGCCCCTCCTGCAGGTGGGGGTAACACTGGGCAATGAGGGGAACTGGGAGGAGTAAGGGGCCACGAGGAGGAATGGGCTGAGCAGATACTGTTACCCAAGAACGTGTGCCCATGACTAGAGCGACACAAAGCCAATTCAGTCTCACAGAGAGAAGAGCGAGCGGCCACGTATACACAGGCAGGAGAGACAGAGCTTCAGCGTGCTGTAGCGTCTGCCCACCCCGTGCGCAAACACAGGGCTCACACGGGCAGAGCCAAAGCTTACGGGCACACGGACACACTCGATTCCCCAGGACGGGGCTTGTCGGCCCACGAGACGGGCAGAGAGGCTCCCTCAGCTCTGGGAGCACCCGCGCTGGGCACATCTGTCTCTCTCAGGGCCGACCCCCGGAACATCTCAGGTCTATGCTTGGGTTTGTGCCTCTGGGTCCGCGTGCCCTTTCTGGAGGCCGGTTTGTACGTTAGGTCACGAACCACACCTGGAGGCTGGCCAGGAAGACAAGCCGTTGGGCCCCCACCTTGGCCGCAGAGGACAGACGGGCTGCTGGGGTACGCACTGGCTGTCACTTGGACGGAGCAGGCTGGCGGGGGCCCCCGGCCCAGATGGCCATCTCCTCAACCCCCCGCAAGTGGCTCAACCCTGCGACTTTGTGAGATGAAGCATCTCGTGCAGAGCAGACTTGCATGGGGGTTCCACCTGCCTGCACGGGGGGGCCACCTGCCTGCATGGGGGTCCACCTGCCCACACCTGGGCTCTGGACCTGGGCGTTTGTGCATACCTGTGTGTGTCCCGTGGAACCTGTGGGCTCCCAGGAAGGAGGCTCTTGTCCTGTGTGTCCTGCACCCCAGGAAGCCCTGCTGTGTGGGTGTTGTGGGTTCCCAAAGAGCACCACGCCCCAAGTGACTTAACACACGTTTACTGTCACACTTCTGAGGCCGGAGGGGGCCTTCCTGGACTAAATCAAGGGTTTGCAGGACAGGCTCCTTCCGGAAGCTGCAGAGGAGAATCTGGTCCTGGCCTCACCCAGCCCCTAGACGCCTCCCACGGAGCCCTCGTGGTAACGGGTCAGCACTTGGCTGCTAACCGGAAGGGTGGCAGTTCAAACACACCCAGCGGCTCCGTGGGACAAAGGCCTGGCGATCAGCTCCCTTAAAGATGACAGCCTTGGAGACCCTGTGGGGCAGTTCCACTCTGTCCTCTAGGGGCGCTGTGGGTCAGAATCCACTTGATGGGGTGGGTTTGGTCCTTTGGTTCCTTTAGGTACGGAGAGCTAACATGTATGTAAAGGGTGTATCTGCCTGGCTACAAAGGGTGAGATCTCTTTGTCTTCATGGAAACCCCTGGGTGATGCAAACAATTCACATGCTCACTGCTCACCAAAGGGTTGGGGGTTCAAGTCCAACTAGAGGCACCTCGGAAGAAAGGCCTGGCTATCTCCTCTGAGAACCTGGCCACTGAAAATCCCATATAAAAGGAGCTCTGGTCGTGTGGTGCCTAAGGCACTGCACTGCTAACCAGAAGGCTGGCGGTTCATACCCACGGGCCATTCCACGGAAGGAAGATGGGGCAGTCTACTTCCGTAAAGCTTTATCATCTCGGACCCACAGGGGGTCACTATGAGTCAGAATTGACCTGAGGGCAGTGAGTCTGGTTTTGCGTTGAAAACCTTGCAGCGCTCAGTTCTACTCTGAAGCACACGGGATGCCACAAGTCAGGGTCAACTGGTTTTAGGCTTGTAATCTCTTTAGGGTGTTTCCTGTGATACAAATCATTACTGATTCCATAATAAAACCACCTGTTCACATCTCTTCTGCTTCTGCGGGGAAGAATTTCAGGGTGAGGTCTATTTTGATGATCTCTTGGTGGAAGAAAAAGTGTGGCCGCTGTGTTGTCTGAAAGACACTTGGTCACAGACACTCACTAAGGTCACTGTCCACGGGAGTGGCAGCAGTAAGCCAGGAGGACCAGACTCCGGTTCACAGATAAAAACACAAAGCCAGGCCACACGTGACATCTGACAGCAAAATGCTCTGGCGAGAAGGCCAATTCACACGACTCATGTGTCACTGAGGTGCAATGATACAGAACCGGCGGCCCCGAGGCTGGGGGTCCTGGGTCAGCAGACAGTTAACCCTCAGCTGCTCGCTCAAAGCCTAGAGGTTTGAGTCCACCCAGACACGCCTCAGAAGGAGGGCCTGGCAATCTACGTCTGAAAAATCACTCACTGAAAACCCTGCAGAGCCCCGACGCACGCGGGGTCCCCATGAGTCAGCACGGTCGTGGGTTTGTGGTCAGCCCTGATGCACACGGGGTCCCCATAAGTTGGCACGGTTGTGGGTTTGCGGTCAGCCCCGACGCACGCGGGGCCAGCATGAGTCGGCACGGCCGTTGACTGCTTTGCGGCCAGCCCCCCTCAGGGTGAAGCTGTGGCCGCGTGGTGCTCACGAAGCAGCAAACACACATCAGAGGGAGCTGGGGGTGGGCGGGGACCAGCAGAGTCCTGCTCCATCTCACCCGTTAAAGGTACACAACCCACAGGCCACAGCGTCTTATTCTGGAAAGAGCTTCCGGAATTTTCCGTAGGCTGCGTTGCTCATGATGACGGTCACATCAGCCGTCCCATCCTCAGGGATCACGTCAATGTCCTGCACGGTGGCCTCACGGTGTAGCCAGCTGCGGACAAAACATCCCAAAGCTTTGACTGAAGGGCCGGTGGGGTGGGGGCTTGGGTAGGTTGGTAGGTGGTGGGTTGGTGGGTGGTAGAGGGTGGCTGATTGGCTAGTGAGTGGTTGACTGGTTGGTGGGTGAGTAGTTAAAAGGTGGGTAGGTGGGTGAGTAGTTGACAGGTTGGTAGGTGAGTGATTGGTTGCTGGATGAGTGGTTGCTTGGTGGGTGGGTGAGCGGTAGGTGACTGGTTGGTAGGTGAGAGGTTGGTTGTTGGGTGAGTGGTTGGTGGTTGGTGGTAGGTGAGTGGTTGACTGGTTGTTGGGTGAGCGGTAAGTGACTGGCTGGTAGGTGAAAGGTTGGCTGGTGGGTAAGTGGTTGATTGGTTGTTGGTGGTGGGTGAGTGGCTGACTGGTGGGTGGTTGACTGGTTGGTAGGTGAGTGGTTGGTTGGTGGGTAAGTGACTGGTTGACGGGTTGGTGGGTGATGAGTAGATGGTTGGCTGGTGGGTGATGAGTAGATGGTTAGCTGGTGGGTGATGAGTAGATGGTTGGCTGGTGGGTGTGGAGTAGGTACTCAGTTGGTAAGTGAGAGGGGGGTCTGTTGATTACTTGTTGTGTGTTTTGTGGGCATTTGACTGCTAACCAGAAGGCTGGCGGTTCAAACCCACCAGCCACTCCTTGGAAGAAGGATTGGGCAATCTACTTCCATGGTGATACTGCCTCGGAAACTCAAGGAGGGGCTGCTATGAGTCAGATCCAACTCAATGGCAGTGAGTTTGGTTTTGGTTTTGTGAGGGGTGGAGTGGGAGTCTCTCCTCCTGCCAGGCTCCTGGACCACAGGCTCCTCTGACAGGATAAGGCTGGATTTTGCTAAGTCCTTTGAAAGGAGCTCTGGTGGCCTAGTGCCTAAGTCATTTGACTGCTAACCAGAAGGCTGGCGGTTCAAACCCACGAGACAGTCCTTAGAAGGAAACCTGGGCAATCTACTTCCATAGTGATACCACTTTGGAACCCAAGGAGGGATCACTATGAGTCGGGTCTGACTTGACAGCGGTGAGTCTGGGTTCACTCTGTTTTGCTGGGTATCTCTCCACCCTTTTATGATCTGGCAGCTGCAAGGCTTCCCGCAAGGTGTGGACGGAGCCTTCCTGATTTACTGCTCGAGTAACTTCCGCACTTCCTTATCCCTCCTTCTCCCCTCCCCTGGGCTCCCAGGATCCAGTCATCCCCACTTTCCCTCTTCCTCTGGGATGCCAGGAGCCCAGTGGCTTATCACGAGAAGCCCAGGGCCTTCTGGCAACACCCTTCCATCCTTCCTTCAGCACTGCTGGCCCCTTAACCCTCCTGCAGGCCCGTGTCTCAGTGCAGTGGGGTCACACAGCTCTGCTCTCTCCCTCCCCACTGTGCGAGCCTCCTCCAGCTCCTCCATCCCACCCCCAGCCTTGCACCTGCCCTCCGAATAAAGGCTGGCTCCTGCCACGCTTTAATCCTGTCCACTGCAGTTTTCTTTGAATGTCCTTTCATGTCACCTAGAAAGTCCACTACTTGGCTGTCAGTGTGTCATACTGTGGTGGCTGTGTGTGGCTGCGAGGCTGGAGGCTACGCCACCAGTACTTCAAATACCACAAGGTCACCCATGGTGGACAGGGTGCAGCAGCTTCCAGACTAAGAAAGACTTGAAGAAGGAAGGGGCCACAGACTTCTCACAGAACTGGCCAGTGAAAGCCTTGTGAACGGCAGTGAAACCTGCCTGACACGTTACTGGAAGACGTTACGGATAGCCCTGAAACACCATCCAGTCTAGAGCCGGGAGATGAGCCTCGCGGATCGGAAGGCACTCTGACCAGGCCTGGGGAAAAGCTGACCTCTCAGATGAGGAGGACCTTCATGACAAATGGGATAGTTAAGGTTGCTGTCCCCTTGGCCGGACAGGGGGATGCAGGTACTCCCTGTGGTGAGACTGGTCATCAACTCCATGGTGGAACCTACCGGAGCAACCGAGGAGCTGCTCTGGGGATGTGGTCTGCTTCCCGTCTCTAAGAAGCATCTCTGGGAACGGTCTCTAGCTGATGGCACGCTTGAACCCCGCGTGTAGCCGTGTCCATTGTTCAGCAGCCTGCCATGTTCTGCTGATCTTGGGACTTTCAATGAACTGGAATTAATGGTCTACTGTGTGGTTTGGTAACATTGGGACTGTGCCTTTTTACTTGTCAACCTTGGGCTTGTCAGTCTCGGCAGCCAGCGGTTGAGTGAGTGAAGAGAAGCCTCCAGCTCCAGTGGGCCGGGAGCAGGACACAGAGCTGAAGCCCAAGGTCAAGGGGCTTTCACCCAGCCCCTAGAGCCGGGCACTTGGAATTCGGACTGAAAGCCTCCAAACTGTAAGAGAATAATCTCCTATTTGTTAAGGCCATCCCATGGGTGGTATCTTCTGTTAGAGCAGCACTAGGGAACCAGAACAACGAGGATGGAGTAAAGCTTC